AATAAGTAAAAAAAAGGGAAATCTTGTTGAAATTTGTTTCAAATTGAAAAAACAATACAGAACCACCGCAATATAAACGTACACACACACACACACACACACACACACACACACACACACACACAACCTGGGTTTTATAATAAGTATGATGTATAATGGATGATGTTAGGAGAGTGTGTAGATTGTGCGGGTGAGGCCTAGCGTGAATTGGGTTCTCGCTGAATATTTTTCTAATTGTTTGATCGAGTTTGAAATACTGAAAATCTTTTGTTAAGATATAGAAGCTTATGAATGTTGTAATTAAAATAAAATAAAAATAAAAAAAAAACATGGGAATTCTAGAATTATTCTTTTTTGTTTCATACGTTCGAAGAATATTTCTGTTTTGTTCGGATGCTTTGCAGTTGATTTTTTGATAGTTTTAGTAGGTAATTACTATTAAGAAATTAACTGAATAATTATCCTATATATATTTTTTGTAATCTACATTTTGTGAACAAATACGTTTTATGCGTAAACATTGGTTGTAGATTATTGATTTTTTTAGGTTGGTGGGGTGGCAGTTATTGAAATTTGGGTAGAAATGACCATCTTTTGGTTTGAGGTACAGGGTACTGGACATATGTTAATTATTTAGACGTACCAGTACATCCAGAAACGGAATGAAAGTGGTAGAATATTCCACTGTGATGTTGATGGTATGATGGAAATTGTTGAGGTGTTTTTAAGGTTTTGGAAACTGTTTTCGCCGCCGTGTGACCATATAAATAAAATATCATCTATTTATCTGTGATAGTGTAGGGGTGTTAGACTCCATGATTATATCCCCATAGCTGGGAGCCATTTTTTTTTCCATCGCCGTGCCTCTGACTTGAAGAAAATAGTGCCCGTTGAACGCTAAATTGTTGGACGTAAGTATGAATTGTGCAATGTTCCTGCTGTCTTATGTGTTGTATTCCTGAAAGCCACTGGTACGAAAAAAAAAAAAAAAAATTGAAAAAACATTTGAAAAAAATATGAAATCACGCTACCTTGGTTTCAATCTTTTGGCATCTTTAGGCGATCCGGGCTAAATAATTTCCCAACACTTTATTATTTAAAAATTTCAAATTGTATCGGAGAGGTGGGCATGTGTGTGTGTATGAAATGTACATGGTTTCTTCCTGGTTCAAACAAACTCAAAAGGAATTTTTTTGTGTGTGAAATAATGACACGATGCTTACACACACACACACACACACACACACACACACACACCCACACACACAATTCCTTTTGAGTTCATTTGAACCAGGACGAAAACATTTACATTTCATACACCCCTTCCAATATAATTTCAATACCCTTGCTTTTCTCCTTCCCTTCTATTACGCTTTGCGTTGTGCGTTTATTTATTTTTTTAAATAATAAAGCGTTAGAAGATTATGTAGCACTAATCGCCTGAAGATACCAAAAGGTTAAAACCTATGTAGCGTGATAGTCCGATCTCCTAATTTTTTTGAAATATATATATATATATATATATATATATATATATATATAATTATTTATTTAAAATATGATTCCAAATCGCGACATAAGAAGTCCCATGTTTCAAAACAAGAGCGAATTTTTTTTTGATTCAAAAAAAAATTTCGTTTGAAGATGGAACAGAGCTTATTTTAACTCAATTTAATTTAAATAATTATATTGAAGTTTTCGCCTCTTGTTTTGAAACATGGGACTTCTTATGTCGCGATTTGGAATCATATTTTTAATAAATAATTATATTTATGCTCTACTTTTGTATCGAGCACTATTTTTAAAAATAATAACTAAAATACTAAGGGACTTTGGATTATTTACCTAACCAGTTCCTTCCTATTTTCTATATATTTTCACACACACACACACACACACACACACACACACACATATATATATATATATATATATATATATATATATATAGAGAGAGAGAGAGAGAGAGAGAGAGAGAGAGAGAGGGAGAGAGAGATTAGCAAGAATTTAAGGCCCGATTAAAGTTCTTATGAAGATATTCACACATAAAGCCGCAATCATGAATTTGAACTTTACATTACATGAGATAAAAAAAACAAACATTTAAAGTTTGATTCATTGGAGTTTATTTTAAAGAAAAATATCAAAAGATCCATATTTCAATCAGTGAAGACTCTTTATTACAAGACACACACATACGCACACCTAGTCGATATATATTAATTACATGCTGTCAAGAGACTAGAAATCTACCGTAGTTGGAGTACATGATGAAAACACAAAAAATAATTTTCTATGTAAGTTAGAGTTTCCATCATTGTGTAATATAATAAAGGGCCTAAAAGAAATTTTTGTGTAAAGGAAAATACATTATTTAGTTAAATAGTGCGTTTTATATTCTTTGTGATTCTGACTTTTCAAAGACTGTTAATGTAGAATCAAGCAGAAATTTGATCTGCAGTACAGGAAAATATGTAGTGGAAATATTGGGTTACTCAAAAGGTTTGTTATGTGTTTGTTGTTAGACAGCATTGAGAAATTTTAGTTTTAACTAAATTGATACTAAAAGATAGCTTTTGATTTTATTTTAACAGCTTTCATTTCGTTTCGTGCACTGAATGATTGCCAAAATTGTTCTATATTTGTTTATTGATTATAACATTTAAGCAGGAAGAAAATATATTCGACGTGTTCTATTTTATTTTAGAAGAGGTAAGAAAAAGTTGTTTTCGAAATTTCCTGCTGAAATCTTTTAGCCGAAATGTTAGATAAACTGGTGGAAGCTGATAGCGATCGAATCAAGACATGTGAATAATCAATAAGTAGGGCGAGAGCCAATAATACACAAAATATATTCTACAGAAAACACCCGTCGTTGATAGACGCGGGTAGATAACCCGCGCCTACCGGGGACACTTTTACAACGTATGAGGGTCAGGCACCTCAGTTCCTAGGAACCGACAGACAAACTGCACATATGATTTGATTATAGTGGTGAAGGCTTTGGGCTTAACCGACCAGACTTGCACCAAGGTCACCAACCGACGCTCTGCAGGTTTGTTGACTATGTTCACCATAGTCTATGAATATAGAATACAGCGCAGTACGTAATCTGTTCAATGAAACAACGTTAAAGATTAACACACACAAGTCAGACACTCTACTGAATCTGACTCTATCGCCAATACCACCAGCAGCTGTTCCGTAATTCTTCTGTCAAAGGCTGGCAGTGTATATTCAGGAAAAAAAAACATGGCCGCCTTTATACACGTCGCATTGAATATTTTGAGCCTTCTGATTGGTTAACCCTTCTATTGGTGAACTATAAAATGAGTCAGCTCATTTTGGCTGGCTCACTAGTACACTAGGGTATCCAAAAATTCCAACAAAGTTTTGAATTCAAAGTTGTTCTTCTCCTAGACCAGATGCCATCCAAGGTTATAGAACCCAGTCTGTCCTGCTATTTATCCATAGGTGGAAGGTGAAGAAGATTCATACCTTTCCCAAGGGTATTAACACGTAAGTGAATGTAATGGATTCGACTGGCATTCGAACTCGGCTCTTCGATTTCTCAGTCCGAGCCGTTATCTATGGTTAAACTGGTCTTAATGCACTAAGAGAGTTTTATTACGCATGCATTAATCAAATTTTGGTATAAAAAAAATTAAGCGCACTAATCTAAAACGCATTAATCAAATGCGCATTAATCGAGGGATTCCTGTATTGTATTTTATTTTAGAAAAGGTAAAGTTTTGACTCAAATTCAAAAACGCATTTGTATACTTTATTACTTTGAACGATGGAGCGTGCCAAAAGTCGTTTTCAAAATTTCGAGCTGAAATGTTGGCTAAACTGGTCGAAGCTAATAGCGATCGAAACAAGACAAGAATAATCAACGACGAAGAAGAGAGCCAACAATACTCTATTCATGTCAAATTTCTATCATTTTTGCTATGTTAGTCGCTTTGATGTGTGGCTTGCACATAAGTTAATTAAAAAGAAATAAAAAAAAAAAATCAACCGCTTTTCCTTGAATTGTAAATACTCCGCTTCTGAAAAAAATTCTGACGGGTAATGGAAATGGAATGCTTCACAAGAACGCCGGGGATTTTTAGTCAAGATTGATGAACTACTACTAATTTTATCAATGATTGATTTTTATCTAAATAAGGTGATGATAATGTACTTTAGATAAGTGTTCTACTCCAAACAATAATAATAATGTACTTTACTAATAATGTACTTAGATAAGTCTTATGGTCCGGTTCCTTGTACCACGGTGATAGTCCAAGGTAGAACCAATAAAGATGAACGCGAACACAGGTATGGAATAACAGATATATTACAACAGGAATATATACAGAGAAGTAGAAGTGTTAGTATGAACAATCAGGTTTAGTAGAGAACAATGTAGTCTCGACCAGTATCACTATTCCAATGTCTTGCAGTAATTGTCTGAACGCGACTCTGTTTCGGACTGCCTCTGACTCAACTCTTGACTTGAACTACTGACTCTCCTGGGGCACAGTATTTATTAAGTATGGTATAGTCCATTATTATTATTATTATTATGGGTAAGATCCCATAAGAATAAGTCTTCTACTCCAAACAACTAATTCGAACAAGTACTAATCCACATTAGAACAAGTGATTGTAGTAATCAATGAAAAGTATCGAAAATTAGTTAACATATGGACGTACTATTCTTTGTTGATAGAGCTCAATTGTCTGTTTCCTTAATGACCAGATAAAGACTGTTACAGATTGGCTGGGAAGTTTTCATTTATCCGCCAATTTCCGATTTAGATTCTGGGCCTTTCAGATTATTATTCATTTCGGTTTATACAGACAGAAAAAAAGTTGAAGTTGGAGTTAGGAGGTTGGAATTACGAAATCAGAAAGAGAGCAGAATATGGGTGAAACTAAACGCTAAATATATCGTTTAATTTTATACAAAAAATAAAAATGTCACCATTATTTTTAGTTAATATACACTATAGTACGGGAATATCTCTCTCTATTTAACTTTATATCTAACACCTTTTCTCTCTTTCTCTCAGTCTGTCTGTCTGTATCTATCTATCTATCTATCTATCTATCTATCTATCTATCTATCTATCTATCTATCCACATCAATGAACATTCATAATGGACAAAAGGCATTCACTTGTGCTCAACTAAATATTTCGCGTACATAAGCAAATATATGTAGACCTCACACGCCCAGTAACATATTCGTACAGTCCCCGTGTACGCATGTATCTCCCTTATTCTATCACACACACACACACACACACACACACACACACATACTCAAATATACATTTACATACGCCCACATAACCCACATAAAGGAATATTGTACCTGTCATCCCAACAAGACAGAAAGTGTTCCTTGCTAGCGGCCAGCTGTCAAGACACCCGGGTGGGCATCGGGATTTTAACTCAGATACCCGGACAGGAAGAGAAGAAGGCAAACAGCTAAGGCTTTTCAGCGAAAATAAAGGGAAAGGAAAAACGTGAAAGAAGTTTCCCCGTCGGTTGATATGTCTAAAGTGCCTGGAAAGACATCATACGATAGGGCTGATAGCCTACAAAGCTAACAAGGGATTCAAGTCGTTCTATAATGTGTGAGGGAGGATAGGTTTCGGCTAAGGATAATTGAGGAAGAAATTCAATCATCCATTACTTTTTGTATTGTTTGCTTTATATTTTATTTTTCCCACGGTACAAAAGCGGAGGATATTTTTTGACAAATGCAAAAAATTAGATAGGTATGTTCATATCTATATACACAAAAAGAACACAACATTTTCGCAATCGATTTGTAATAAACAATCGATAATTGATACAGAAAAACAATAAAAGTAATACTACTGAGAATAATGCACTTATTTCATCTATGTATCAATGAACAGACGGAATAGATGTATATCTGTCTATCTATCTCGTCAATTCATACTTCTATCTATCTATCTATCTATAGACAGACAGAATAGATATCTATCTATCTTTCTCGTCTATTCATACATCTATCTATCTATCTATGAACAGACGAAATAGAGTGATTTCCAAGCATAGCTGAGATGTGGCACAAGGCCGAAGTCGTAATTGTTCTAGCGAGACAAGCTTTCTAACCATTACAGGTGTCCAAGTTGTCCAAGACGAAATAGATATATATCTATATCATGAAATGGACAAAGTCCGACAATTATTTTAAGACATTTTGATGTTTATACATTCTTTTTTATTGATACAAATATTTAAGTAAATGCTCTGTTTCTTTTGTTATATAATAAACAGTATTATAATACAACTTAAATAACATGATCCAATAGAGAAATAAATTAGTTTCCACCAATAACACTGATTTATTTACTGCCGATTTTGATCCGTCTTAATGAAACACCCTTATATATAATCAGTCTTAATGAAACACACTTTATATATATATATATAGGTGTGTGTCTGTGTGTGTCTAGCGTGCGAGAGAGAGTATACACAACTAAGCACTTCTTGACAACAGTTAGTTTCACGCTTTAACAATCATTAAATCATCTGTTGATCACTTGGGGCATGGAACTGGCGATCACCATACGGTGTTGATTTTTGTGTCCACTCTGTTCATACCTAAAAACGCTCTATTCCGCTCTATTATCCTATATATATACATTGTACACACATTAACAACACACACACACACACACACACACACACACACACACACACACACACACACACACACACACACATTTTTTCTTTTAGTCTTACAGATCCTAAGCAATGCGGTTTAGAGTTAAATAAATATTCGAGTAGGACTGTGCTCATTGAAAGGATTTAAAAACACCATATTAATGGAATGGCCTCTTGCCACAGATATTAATCCAATAGCAAACTTGCGCTTCATCACTGAAAGAGATGGCTATAAGAATGTAAAGTAATATTTAAATAAAAACAATCTCTGGGAAGTAATAAAATTTGCTGCAAATAATGTTAAAATCGAAATAATAAAAATTTAATTCGATTTCTGAAAGACTAATGAAATTCATAGAATCTGAAGGAGCCCATCTTAATATGTTAAATAATAAAATAATTTATTCAGGCAAAATTAAAATTTTGTTAAATATATCTTTCTGTGGCCGAAGAATTTCGGATACATTTATAAAAAATATGTTTGTTTGTACTTGCATAAAACCTTACAGTACGAAACAATATTTTTATAAGGCTAGGTATCATCTGTTGCAATTCAGAAGATATATTGCTCATATAAATATAAATAATTCTTGAAAGTCTTAGCGACATTAGTTAATATTAATTTAGATGTGAAAATGTGGCAGCCATTGTTGACACTGTTGATCGGATATTTCCAGCTCTTGGTCTCTACAGGGGACGGGAGAAGCTATACATTATTAGATAGTTTTCTCTTAGATTTGGTATATATATATATATATATATATATATATATATATATATATATTTATATACGTTTCGTTAAAGACGATTGACAAGGTACTACGATTATGTTTTTTATTTAATTTCACCTGAGTTCAATATACGGCTATTCTTTTAGCCATTATTAAGGATGATTTTTTAAATTTTTAACTCTTTAATTCTTTCAGTTATTATTAAAGACGTTTTATTTGAACTTTTAACTGAAGGTAAGGATTTTTTATATGTGTATCTAGATTTATAGGAATGTTTTATTTTACAAACACGGTCAGCACATTTTGGCTGTGTTCATAGTTAATGTTATTGTGTTGGCTTCTCCTTTTTTTATTATTAGTGCTTCCACTATTTTTAATCATTTTTAAAAAAATATGTATGAGGCTATTATATTTGTATTTTCTACTAGTATGTTACAGATATAGTTTGGTAGGTTTCCGTGTGTGCTTGAGCCCTAATTGAGCTATACTCGGGTAGGTGTAACGTCAATTATCCCCTAAATATGGCACATTTTAAAACTATAAGTTATCATATATAGGGTGCGACGGATAAATTATCGTCTAAATGACAGAAAAATGAAAATAACACTGACATCGCATTTTAACAGATATATTTACCAAAAGAAAGAGTATATCTATTCGATAAAGTCGACATTGGCTTCAACCATGGCCGACTTCGGAATCTCCTGCATCTCTTCTGGACGGTCTCCTTGTTTAAGTTGGTGAATGCTGCCATAAGCCTTGCCTTCAGTTCCTCTTTGGTGTTAGAAGGAGTTTTGTTGGTATCTCGCTCAACTGTACCCCACACATAGTAATCAAAGGGATTTCAGTCTGGGGATGTAAGGCGTGATGTGGTCGCAGAAATTGTCTAACAGCCATGACTGAGTTCTTCTACTTGTGGGACATGATGGAGTCTTATTGCCAAGCGTAGGGTTTTCCAGCAGCCAACCTCTTGATCCAGGGAAGCACTACCTTTTTAAGGTACCTGATGTAGGTCTCCGTGTTGATTCTGGTGCTCTGTGGGAAGGTGAATAAAGGCATAACGTCATCACTAGTGCTCACACTAAATACCTTCATTGACTCATCCAACTCTTTCCGAATCCTCAGTAATCTCCTCAGATTGACACCCAAACACCCTGAAAAGGTTCGTATTGGAGCTCACGGCGCGAATGCCAAGTAATACAACGTTCCGTTTCCAAATTATTGGCAGAGTAAATTGGGTCATGTTGCTCTTTTTCTCATAGAGGTGCCCAACTGACCTTACTATACTGTGTAGTGGTCAAAATCAAAAACAACAAACATTAGCGAGATTAAAATGCCGACAATTTACCCATCGTACTCAATATACAGGGGTTGGGCAAAATAATTGGAACACTTGTTAAATTGAAAGAAAATTTATTTAATATGGAGTTGGTCCTCCTTTAGCCTCACAGACAGCTTTAATACATCTAGGAATGGAATCATACAGCTTCCTGGCTTCATCTAGAGGAATTTTCAGTCATTCTTCCATTAAAACCTTCTCCAGCTCTTTACGACACGACAGTGGAGGATAGCGGCTCCTAACTTGTTGCTCCAAAATGCACCACAAATGTTCAATAATATTGATATCTTGAGATTGGGGAGGCCACTCCATGTGTTCTAGCTCACTTTCATGCTCTTCATACCATTTCTTAGTCACTCGAGAGGTATGTATTGGAGCATTATCGTCTTGGAAGATGCAGTCACCATCAGTGAGTAAAGTCTTGGTCATTCAATGAACATGATCTCTCAAAATGTTCAGGTAATCTTTGCGGTTGATTCTACCATACAGGGCAACTATTGGACTGAGACATTTCCATGATATGGCGGCCAAAACTATCACTCTTTCACCTCCAGGTTTCACTTTTGGAAGAAGGCAGTCAGGGTTGTAAGCTTCTTTGGGCTGCCTCCACACATAAACTCACCCTGAAGTTGGAAAAAGAGAAAAAGTGAACTTGTTTGAGAATATGACTTGCTTCCATTGGTCTGCAGACCAGGCATTGTGATCTCTGCACCACTTCAACCTCTCTTGAATGTTGTGAGTGGAGAGAAGAGGTTTCCTCACAACGGCTCTTCCATGATATGCAACCTTATGGAGCTCACGGTGAACAGTTTTAGTAGAAACTGAACTATTCAGATGGTCATTCAACTCAGCAATCGCTTTGGCCACATTTGTCCAATAATTTTTTGCCACATTGCGTTTCAATGCACGTCAGTCCCTGTCAGTAAGTTTGCAAATCCGGCCCGAATTGCTACGGTTGCTAGAGCTCTTGCCCTGTTTCTTGAATTGCATCAGTGTTCTTGATATGGTAGCTCTTGAAAAACCAAACAGTTCAGCAACCTTAGTGATCGAGGCTCCTGCAATGCGAGCTCCAACAATTTGCTCTTTTTCGAACTCGGAGAGGTCACACATTTAGCTTAAATTTTACTAAATTCTAAAAATAAATAAGACAAAGACGATAAATTAGATAAATAAACGTATTTACAATAGATATAACCTGCAATTACGAAGTTTTAGTTAAAGTTCTTAATATAATAGGTCTTTGAAATATAGGAGTGGATTTTGCAACTGTTGCAGTTATTTTTTTCCAACCCTGTATATATATATATATATATATATATATATATATATATATATATATATATATATATTGTTTGAAACAAAAGGAATTAGGATTGCTCTGTAATACTGATGATAATCATTTCAATTTGTAAATTAAAACTAACATAGTTCCATTTTGATTTTTCTTGTTAACCTGATGAATTTGAAAATCCTTGTAAATTAGTTTCAATTTATAATCTGAAATGATTATCATCAATATTATGGAATAATCCTAATTCCTACTGTTTACAATTTATATGTTCTATTTGAATAAGACATTGATCTCTCTCTGTGAATCAGTTTTAATATTTTATTTTATATTAATAGGATTCAGTTGCATTTTATATCAACTGGATTTCCTATATATATATATATATATATATATATATATATATATATATATATTATATATTGTGGGCTGCAGATCCTTATTCAAACATATATTATTAAATATAACAGACAATGAATGTCTATTATGTCTGATCCTGAGAAGTTCTAATGTTCGTAAATTTGCTTTAATTTCGGGTGAAAATAAAGACAGAAATTGTCCAACATTTGGATATTTGTGGGTCCGTATCTCTGAAGATGGCTCATGTGAGCCGAAAGCTTAGATCAAGGACCTACTTAATTAAAAATATATCTAAATGTTATTTATTTTCACCCGAAATTAAAACATACATACGAACATTAGAATGGCTCATGATCAGACATAATAAACAATCGTTGTCTGTTATATTTAACAATATATGTTTATACATGTATATGTGTGTACATATGCGAGAGAGAACGAGAGAGAAAGAGAGAAAATGTGTGTGTAAATATGAACATATGTGTGTGTATACACGTTTGAATGTAAATAAACCTCACCAATATCTTCATCAGTTTAACTGTCATACTTCCCATCAATATATTACAAAATAAAAA